CTCGTGCATGGGGGCGATCAGCGTCCACTGGTTTCTCTCTGGCTCGTACCGCTCTGCCGTGTTGAGGCACGTGTATCCATCGAACCCTCCCATGGCGTAGATGACGTCATTGAGAACGGTGACACTGACGTAGCAGCGCCGCGAATGCATGGGTGCAACCTGCTGCCAGGTTTTCTTCAGCAGGTCAAACTGCTTGACACTGCTGAAGTAATTCACGCTGTCAAATCCTCCGATAATGTAGACAAAGCCTTTTAAATAAGCAGTGCCATGATAGGCAAAGGGGCTGGCTTGCTCACAGGTGATGTTCACCCACTGGTTTGCACGGACATCGTACGTCTGGATTGCGTTGGTTGGGCTATCCCCGCTCCAGCCTCCCATAGTAAACAAGACAGCATAGGGCAGGCGAGGCCGACTGAGCAGGTTGGTGAAATCTGAGCCGTGCATGTTCAGGTTCTCCATTGTTGCCAGTGTCTGTATGATAAGACCTTTGCACTCCTCGTTGTCCTTCACATAGTGGTGTGTTCTGACGTTGTTCATGAAGTATTTTACTTCCATCAGGGCCAGTCGAACCTGAAAAGTGGAAAAAAGGTTAGAAAATGAACGCAGGAGGTTTATGTCTTGGTGTCTTTCGTGGATAGCTCCAATGCTGGATGGCTTTGCTTTTGGGCCACGGTGTTGTCTAGAGCTTATTAGAGAACTGGAGAATTAAATGTGTCATTTTGAGCTAGTCCAGAAAGGGGTGTGCAAGGGTAAATATTCCAATGTCATGGCAGGGAGTCTGTCACTCTTTTGGGTTGGGGTTTCCCGAAGTGTCAGGAGAGTCAATGGAATGATGCCACTATAAAGCCACAGTCTTTCCTTTGTGTTTCCAGATAGAAACCATTCCTCATGTGTTCCTGTGGCGGATGGTACTGGCCCAGTGATGAATACCAGGGCACAAATGGGGAAGTAGAAGCGCACATATTTCATCATCTGGATGACATGAAACCCACCAAATTTTTTCAATCAATTAAGCTAAAGATTTAATTATATGCCTGTCTTTGGAGACGTGAATGTGAGACAAATCTATAAAGTTTTTGCCAATTGGAGTACTAAATTCAGTTTGTGACAATTATGTATTGAAGGATAGTAAAAAGTATTTACTTTGAGAGGAAATAAACATCTGTTCAAACTAAATGTCACTTCAAATAATATTTTTCTTTACTTTTGGTTTAATGTAATGGTTCTAATTCCACGGACACCTTCCTCCTGTGTATTCCAATTAGTTGCTTCAAAAGCAATCTCTAAGGTGGTGCTGTGTTATGTCTGCCTTGCTAAGTGCCACAGGGGCATACAGAGAAGTATTTAAGGAGGAAAGGAATACAGCATGTATGGCTACCCACAATTCACATTAAAACTCAGCCATACTCAGTATAAAATCTTTGAATGCCACTCCTAATGGTGCAACTCTTACATCAGCCTGAAGAACAAGGAATCGTGCAGTCTGCATTCTCAATACGGAACATGTTTGCCCCAAAATCTTGATCTTTTACCTGCTGCTTTCTTTGGTTGCATTTGTTGTTCATTCTCCCCACAGTCCTGGAGTTCCAGCTTTGGATTCTGTGAGAGTAAAATGTTGCATGATGAGAGAAAACAATCTTTTTAACAACAAAATGTGAAATCATCATTAGGACCTCTGCAGGTCTGATTTTCATCTCTGCTGACTGCAACTGGGCGACTTCTGCTGATGCAAATGAAACCAGAATCCAGCAGGGTATCTCCATAGGAGATCTTGAGAGCTCATTGCTTTGGGATATGATTTATTTTCCTCTTTTATGGACTAAATTAGCAAGCCCTTTTCCATGCAAATAATTTGACTGCCCGTACAGAATGCACAGGAATTGTCTGTGCCCCCTCATGAGCCATTGACTTTCGTCTGACTGCCTAGAATATGGTATTTCCATTTGGGTAGCGTTGAGCTGAACACACAGGCTTAATACTTGTCATAGCATCCCCAGCAGAACTTGACACCTATCCCCAATCTATTCTTCTGCCTTTTGGCATTTGCAATCAATATTGGTCTTCTTTGTCAGCCTGCCACCATGAAGTTCATTCATTACAAATCCACCCTGTAAAAAAACATTATGCAACAAGATTTGCTGTAAGTCTTGCTAACAGCAATCCGGTAAAACAGCAAACTCAGTTTGCTGTAATGTAGATGGGAGGGACGTTTCCCCTTCTAATTTAACAAACTCGAAAAAGTGAGCAGACCGTTACCCTTCAGTCATCTTTTCTTCCTAGTTCTTATGTAGCAGCATAGAGGTGCCCAAACTTCTGTCCTGGTTATGCCTCACACCCTCTCATAGGGGCATGCAAGGAGCATACAGCACTGCAAATTTTTGACTTTAGGGCTACGAGGATGGTGAGGGGACTGGAGCATCTCCCCTACGAGGAGAGGTTGAGGGAACTGGGCTTGTTCAGCCTGAGGAAGAGAAGGCTGCGAGGGGACCTTATAAATGCCTACAAATATCTGCAGGGTGGGTGTCAGGAGGATGGGGCCAAGCTCTTTTCAGTGGTGCCCAGTGACAGGACAAGGGGTAATGGGCACAAACTGAGGCACAGGAAGTTCCGTCTGAACATGAGGAGGAACTTCTTCTCTCTGAGGGTGACGGAGCACTGGAACAGGCTGCCCAGGGAGGTTGTGGAGTCTCCTTCTCTGGAGATATTCAAGACCCGCCTGGACAAGGTCCTGTGCAGCCTGCTGTAGGTGACCCTGCTTCGGCGGGGGGGCTGGACTAGATGACCCACAGAGGTCCCTTCCAACCCCTACTATTCTGTGATTCTGTGATTCTGTGAACCACTGCCTAGTTATGAAATGTGGCACTTATGACTGCACCTGTAGGAACTGCGTGCGAACAGAGTTTGATGAGACTCCAAGATGCACTGTTGGGATCTTTCAGAGATGCTGGTCACATGGTTGTTCTGCCATACTGAGGACACTAATTGCACTGTCTTCCTTTGTCAGCAGGTTTTCAAAGGAAATAGGATGACCTTTCACTGTCCCCCGCAGACAGGGACTGAGGAGTGCATTCCTTCACTCCTTGTTACCACACCTGCTAGAAACAAACCCACAGACTTGGGCAGCATTGCTGTGTGAGACACACACACAGCAAAGACACAGAGGACACAGAGCTGTGGACAAGGCCAAGCAGGCAGTGGGGCCCATAAGACCAGCTTAGTTCCTATCTTCCTCGGATACGGGTCAACAGCAGACCTCCCACATCCTCCAACAGGAAAAATTCAAGTAGGTGGAGGCTAAAGACAGGGTTGCTTTAGCATGGAGAGGAGATCAAGAGAGAGAGGTTTGTGTCAGTGATACCAGCTCCATCCTCCCACAGACTTTCTCCTCTTAACTCCTTCAATCAATTGCCCCTGTAATTTGAGGCAATACACCGCTAACTACAGCCTCTTCGATATGCCAGTCACTAATGCTTGAATGCTTTAAAAACGAAGGGATTGTGAGAGGGGATGGTGAAGGGACAGGGGTGAAGGTGCGCTGTGCCAGGGAAGGAGCAAGTCCTCTCTCCAGCTCTCTGATGTTGGCTCCTGCTGTTCAAATGGAACCTTACCCGGGAAAATAAATCTTTAGTTAAAGAATGTTGCAAACACCCACAATGGGGCTTTATCGTAGCAATACCAACCCCACTGCAGCTTGTAAACATTTGGTTGGACAGAGGGTGAGCAGCAACAACCCCACACCGTGCTGAAGTCCGCATTCCTAGAATTCCCCAGCGAAGGCAGGCATGCTCAGGGAAGGCAGCTTAGTGGCTCAGGGGTTATTAGCTGAGAGTTCAGGTTCAGATGTGCAATGGGACGGAGGTCAGGGCATGGATATAGCTCCTTGTCTCTCCCTGGCTTTCATTCGAAAATTTTCACGCATTCTCAGCATAGCATCTACAGTGTCCTCTCTCCACCCGCTAGTGCACAAAGGGGTTTTGCTTGCGTTCCTCCAATCATTACAGCCTAAGTGCTGTGAGGTCTCTGGGGCTGGAGTGCAGGAGATCCCCACTGCAGCAGCCTCCTGCGAGGTCTCATGAAAACTAAGTCGTCCTCTTTGTAGGCTTCTTCTCTTACCTCCGGGGCCTGGGATTCCTGAGGGCCAGTCTTAGCACTGAAGACTGAAGCAAAGAAGGCATTCATTAGCTCTGCCTTCTCCGCATCCTCCGTCACCAGGACACCCGCCTCATTCAGCAGCGGCCCCACGTTGTCCCTAGCCTTCCTTTTGCTGCTGATGTAGTTGAAGAAGCCCTTCTTGTTGTTTTTGACATCCCTTGCCAGCTTCAATTCCAGGTGAGCCTTGGCCTTCCTCGTCGCATCCCTGCATGCTCTCACTACGTTTCTGTACTCTTCCCAAGTGGCCTGTCCCTCTTTCCACATTCCATGGACCTTTCTCTTCTGCCTGATCTCCGCTAGAAGCTCCTTGTTTAACCATGCAGGTCTCCTGCCTCCTTTGCTAAATTTCTTTCTCAGGGGGATGCATTGCTCCTGTGCATGGAAGAAGTGTTGTTTAAAGAGCGACCAGCACTCATGGACCCCCCTGCCTTTGAGAGCCCTGGCCCACGGGATTCCTCCCAGTAGCTCCTTGAAGAGGGCAAAGTCAGCCCTCCTGAGGTCCAGGGTTTTGATCCTGCTTATCGCCCTGCTTCCTCCATGCAGGATCCTGAACTCGACCATTTCATGGTCACTGCAGCCGAGTCTACCTCCAACCTTCACGTCCTCCACCAGTCCCTCCTTGTTTGTTAACACGAGGTCCAGCAGCGCGCCTTTCCTTGTTGGTTGCTCCACCACTTGCATCAGAAAGTTATCATCGATGCTCTGTAGGAACCTCCTGGATTGCGCCTGCCTAGCTGTATGGTCTTCCCAGCTGATGTCAGGGTGGTTGAAGTCCCCCATGAGAACCAGGGCCTGTGACTGTGAGGCTGCTTGCAGCTGCCTGTAGAAGGCCTCATCAACCTCCTCCTCCTGGTCAGGTGGCCTGTAGTACACACCCACCGTAATGTCACCCTTATGAGCCTGTCCCTTAATTCTAACCCACAAGCTTTCAACTCGTTCCTCATTTGCCCCCGTAATATAGTTAAGGAGCTCGACAGAAGAGCTTTATTGGCTATTGAAGCACATTAAAATTTTCTGTTTGAATTAAGCATAACACTGCAAACTCTTGCTATACACTGACTACCTACTGTAATATATTTGATATTTTGTGGAGGTGGGACCTTTGGAGAGCTCAAGGAGAGCAGCTTAAGATAACACATAGTATAAACAACACAGTAATCAGAACATCAAATTATCAGGGAAGCAAATGTTTCCTAGGGTTAGCTGTCAAAATTGATAAAGCTGAACAGTCTCTTTACTACTTACATAGCTTATTATAATACTTTAATAGTGCATAACAGGAGATAAAAATGAACTTCTTTTCCAGTCAGTCACAGGATTTTCTTGGGTGACAGTGTAGTGACATTTTGTGCTGCAGTGGTCAGTTAAATCATTGTGAAGTTATGATTGATATTCATCTCGTTTGCATTTTTTGACCT